AAGCCCCCAAGGTCTGGACCAGCCTGCCATCGGAGGTGGTTCAAGCACCTACACTGAACACCTTCAAGAGAAAATTGGATGCTTATCTTGCTGGGATCCTATGACCCCAGCTGACTTCCTGCCCTTCGGGTGGGGGGCTGGACTCAATGATCTTCTGAGGTCCCTTCCAGCCCTAGTGTCTATGAAATCTATGCAATCTATCCAACTTCCAAGTGGCCAGGGACTGCATGTTCTTTGGATGACGCTAACAGAAGCCTCATTGGCAGGGACCACATGTCTGGAAGCCACATGTCCCCCCTGCTAGACCACATGCCCCAATATACCCTTCCCTCCCAAGCTACACCCCCACTGCATGTGCAATCAGGGTGGGGGGCATGATTAACCCTTTGTGAGCTGCATGCAGCCTGCAGGCCACAAGTTGGACAGCCCTGCTTTAACACGTGAGTAAAGAGGAAAGTGAAATAGCATTAGTTTCAGATCCATTTATATTCTAGCAAAATAGTATCTAGAACTGCATTCTCCTATTTCATGCTGGGGCCTGTAGAGTCGTCGCACAAAGACCATGATGTCCATATATCAGAGAAAGGCCTAGTGCACAAGCTACAATATGAATACCCCTGAGGTTTGAAGAAGTTTAGTTCTAGAGCTAAATTTGGCCTGGCTTTAGCCTATCCCCCTAGAAAAGGATTCACTAAGGAAATCCAGAGCAAGCTGGGATCTGTGCTGCACACTGAGTGAAGAAAGATCCTGTGCTCTGACAAGAGCCAACAAGCTGCAGTAACACACAGCTGCTCTGTAGCAAGACAGTTAATTGTTTTCTCTGGACATCAGGAAAACAGCAGCACGTTGTTCTTCATTTCTGGCAGCTGAAAAGAAGTTGTTCACATTCAGCCTTCTAGGGAGTGGCGCTGTTTGTAAGACAACCATGTAAGCTAAGGAGAGATCATTAAATTGCATTAGATCTCTCAGGGAAGACATTTATTTTTATATGATGTCTGCTACTTGGACCAGAAGTTCCAGCTCTTTGCCAGGTAGAAAATGAAACTGCATAGTCATGCCAAAGTGTGAAAGTTAAAATGAGGGAATAATGGCTATTCTTGTCTACTGATATTTGCTGGGTTTCCAAGAAGTCCATCAAGGAAACTGCTGAAGATGCTGGGATGTATTATTGTTTTGAAATTCACTTGGTTCTCCTTTCAAATGAAACCTGAAAGCTTCTGAGCATTTACATGGGACACTTTGAAGGACAAGTAAAGAAGACCATGCGTCATAGAATCATAGCAAATGAAGGTTGAAAGGACCTCAGGAGGTCATCTAGTCCAACCCCAGCCTCAACTATATCATCTCAGCCAAGGCTTTGTCTAGCTGGGCTTCTTAAAAACCTCCAAGGATGGAGAGCCCACCACCTCTCTGGCTAACCTGTCCCAGTGCTTCACCACCCTCCTAGTGAAAAAGTTTTTCCTAATATCTAATCTAAACTTCCCTTGCTGTAACTTGAGAGCATTTCTCCTTGTTCTGTTTACCACTACTGAGAACTTAAGGCCCTGCCTTTCCAACATCATTAAGATTTATTCAGTCTTTTCTCTGAAAACATCATGTTCACTTTACTGGGACAAACACTTGCAGAAAGCAAATTTCCTAATGCAACACACTACATTTGATGTACCACACTGTCATCTAATCAGGGAGAAGAACACCATATGACTTACCTCACCAATCCTCACAAAGAAAGTCTGCATGGACTCTGAATTGCTGGTATAACTGTTTCAAGATACATTTGTCAAACAGATTGAATAATGAATGAATCAGAGGAAATCACAGTCAGTAAGCAGAAAGAGAGGCTAAACTCATTAAATAACATTTCCACTACAAATTGTTTACTTAGCCCTGCTACAAGATGAAGGTCTAGTATGGGATTACAAAAATTGCTCCTTTCTTTCTGTTATAGCTGAAGCTGTCTCCCCCCATAGCTCAGAAAAGAGTACTATTGCCATTTCATTTGATGGGCTTGCTCAGACCACTGTATCGCCCTGCAAGATTGGCCAAGCAGACTGGGAAGACATTACCACCACCTACTTAGGCTTGCCAAATGGTACTTCAGTTGTGATGATGATCAATTTGGAGATAATTGCTTCTGCAGCAGAGACTGTTTTGACAGTCCAATGGGTATTTTAATTAAGTGGTTGGATTGGCTTTTTTCCACAGTGGAGGGGAGTATGATTAAAACTCTGACAGACCCTTCAGAGAAATGGAAAGTCTTGGACCCTAAAATATCCTGAGAATCGGTCTGTGCCAGGTAAACAGCCACCAGCGGTTGTAAGGTAGTTCTCACATTAACTCCCTGATGATCTTTCTCTCATACTGATCTACATAAGCAGTTAGGCAAGCAAACCTTGCTTGTAGGCGTGATGCTGTTGCCATGATGGCTCAGGAAATAAGCAAGAAGCAAGACATTTTTTGAGCGATATTTTTTTTGGACCAGCTGCATGGTTGGGATAGACAAAGGCAAGCTTTCAGGTATCGGTACACTTCTTCAGGCCTCTGGGAGAGAAGCAGCTGAGACAGGTGTATTCCACTTGGAACAGAGTTGTTACGGTTCAT